CCAATTGATAAAGGGGCCAGTCAAAGTGAGCAGCTAAAGATAGAAGAACCCTCACAGATGTCATCTTGGCAACAGGTGCAAAGGTCTCCAGATAATCAATCCCATATGTCTGTGTATAGCCTTTTGCAACCAGCCTGGCCTTGTACCTTTCAATGGTGCCATYAGCTCGATATTTGATAGTAAAGACCCACTTGCAACTGACTGGATCCTTCCCTTCAGGAAAATCAACCACTTCCCATGTGTCATTCTTGTGTAGGGCATCAATCTCAGATCTCATAGCATTCCTCCATTCTGGACTCTTAAGAGCTTCTGACACAGACCTGGGAATAGGGTTAGAAGCAACAAAAGAGAGATATGCAAAGTATGAAGGTGAAAGCAACCTGTAAGAAAGGTGCTTGGAAATGCAGTGTGCAGTGCACTTCCGTTTTCCTTTCCTAACAACAATGAGAATATCAAGGTCAGGGAAGGATGACTCCAAGGGTGCTGAAACTGTACCTGTTGTCTCATCTGTGACTGGAAGTGTATGAGGCTCATGTGTTGTAGGAGAAAYAACCTGCTCATTTCTGGATCTTTGCCTTTGATACACCTTGGGGTTGAGGATAGGACGAGGAGGTAGAGGTGGAAGGACATTGGGACAGGGAGAATGGAACGACTGATCAGCCCTTGACTCATTTGAAGGAGAAGCAGACTCATCAAAAGATTCAACTGGGACAGGAAGAGGAAGAGCAAACACCTGTGACAAATCCTCCCCTTGTGGACAATGTCCTTCTGGAGAGGAACCATAAAAGGGGGAAAGCTCATCAAAGGTGACATCCATTGAGACATACCGAGTGTCAGTCTTAGGATCAAAACAACAGTAACCCTTTTGTGTGGGGGAATAACCAAGGAAGATACACTTTTGGGCTTTGGGTTCAAATTTATGCGTTTGAACACTTGGAACATGAACATAACTGGTGCAACCAAAGACACAAAGAGGAATAGGAAAAAGGTCATTGTCCGGATGAAGGAGATTGAAGGGAGACTTAAACCCTAAAACCCTGGATGGCATACGGTTTATAAGGTAGGTGGTAGTGAGAACAACATCACCCCAAAACCTTGTAGGAACATGTGAGGCAAATAAGATACTTCTTGCAACTTCAACAATATGCCTATTTTTCCTTTCAGCAACTCCATTCTGTTCTGGAGTCCTAAAACAAGAGCTTTGATGAATAACCCCCATGTTAGAGAGATAGCAGGATAGGTTCTTCTCAAAATATTCTTTTGCATTATCAGATCTGAAAATCTTAATCCTGGTATCAAATTGTGTTAGAACAAATTCATGGAATTGTCTCACAAGTCTTGGAACTTCATCAAGAATATCCAAGTGAACCGAGAAAAGTCATCAATAAACAAGATAAAATATTTGTAGCCATCCATGGAGGGTAAGTGGTAAGGCCCCCACACATCAGAGTGCACAATATTAAAAGGAAAAGAAGATTTTTTATTGCTTAAAGAATAATTGTTTCTACAATGCTTTGATAACTCACAAGACTTACAATGAAGACTGGACAAACTAATTCCTTTAAACAGTTCAGGGAATAGATGACACAAGGCAGAAAAAGACAGATGACCCAAACGACGATGACACAACATAATCCGACTAATAGACTCTAAAGAAACAGACCCGAAAGCAACATTCCCAGGATGATCAGTGCATTGTCCCAGAGTATCAAGCAGGTATATTCCGTTCGCCTCATGGCCACTCCCAATCACCTTCTGAGACTCCAGATCCTGAAAAACACAGTATGAAGGAAAGAAGGTTACACAATAGTTTAGTGATTTGGTTAAACTACTTATAGGCAACAAATTCGTATTTAGCTTAGGTACATGAAGGGCAGAAGGTAGGAACAAGGAATCTGTAGCCTATGGTTCCCTTATCAGAAATAGGGGCAAGTGAACCATCAGCTAAAGTGATTTTATCACGTCCAGGGAGGAAGTCATATGAAACAAACAAAGTAGAAAGGTTGGTCATATGATCAGAAGCACCTGAGTCAATAATCCAAGGGATTTTAAGATTACCTGAAGTGGTTGCATGATTGGCAGAAGCCCTTATACCTAAATGAGCAAATGCAGAAACTGAGTTTCCTGAAGGGTTGGAAGAAGAAGTCACATCCTCTAGATGACTGATCATCTTCCCAAACTTTTCATATTCTGCTTTCATAGCTGCCAACTGTGCACAAGCAGACATCTCTTTGGTATAGTACTTATCACTATCTGACCCAACAGCCACATTTGCACTTCCTGTCCTTTTAATATCATGTTTTTTCTAAAACCGAATGGGAACAAGATTAGGATGTAATTTCCAGTACTTGTCTTTGGTGTATTTCGGCTTCTTGCAGTACTCACATACAACTTCTTTCTTTCCTGAGCCACTAGAACCCCCAGCAACCCCTTTGGGTTTAACCCCCATATTCGCAAAGTGATCACTAATATCAGCCCCTTGAACCTGGACAGCCCTTATGCTCTCTTCACTGCTCACCAATGCATAAGCTTGTGACAATGAGACACTCTCCTTGGAAAGAATATTCTGTTTTGTGATATCATATTCTGGGTTTAGTCCGGTTAAGAAGTCAAACACCCTGTTCCTTTCAACCAGTTTTCTGTAGGTCTCTGCATCATTGGTGGTGTCCCAAGTTACAGCTTCTATTAGGTCAATTTCTTGCCATAGAGACTTCAAGGTTGAGAAGTATACAACTAAAGGTTTCTCCCCTTGCTTTAAATTCTTCACATCACTTCTCAATTTATAGGCTCTAGCCACATTTAGTTTTTGGGAATRGGTTTCTGCWACRYTRTCCCAAATTTCCTTTGCTGAATTCATCCATAGGTAGTGTTGACTAATTTGTGGCTGCATTGAGTTCACAAGCCACCCAATGGCAGTGTAATTCTCTTGAATCCACTTCTCGTAGGATAGATCATCTTCTGGGGGAGCCTTCTTGCTCCCGGAAATAAACCCCCACTTTCCTCTACTACATATATAAATCTTTACTGATTGTGACCATGCCAGGTAATTAGTTCCATCTAGTTTAACTGTGGTCACAATCAATAAAGAATCACCTGGAGTTCCCTGAACCTGTCCATATTCAGCACCATTCTTGTTTTCAAATTCTGAGGAGTTCATCATGTAAACACTTCAAATATGATTTCAGATGACTTCTACAAGTGTACTGAATGAGGATGAGCAATGACTGAGTTCAATCAATCCTCAAAACAACAATACACAAGGCCAAACTACTCCCAGAAGTTGTAAGAACCAAGACTGAAGCCGAACCTTGTTGTCTACACGAAACACCAAAACAGCTTGGTTCGGCCTTCAAGAAGTAATTAGAACACTTCTATGCACTATGCCCTCAATCAAAGTTCCTTTTCAAATCAGGAACTTCAAGATAATCACCAAAAAGTAGCCAAGAAGAGTAAATACCAATCTGTATTGCTGAAGAGGCCTTTTTACAAACACAGTGTGGGCAATAGAGAAGATCCCACTGTCAAAGGAGAAAAAAAGCCTCAAGAACAGTCCGTACAGGCCCCCAAAAACAGCCACATAGAAGCAACAAGTTACAGCACTGAATACAAGGATGCTTCGATAGTTTTGACAGTCCAAAAGGAGTGAAAACAGCCCAGAAATCTCGGACACTTCAACAGTCCAAACACAGAAAAATAACCCAGAAACCTGAGCACAACTTACAATATTTAAGCTTCAAATCAGAAACCAAACTGTTTCCCCTTTTTTTCTCTGATTCTTCCTGGCCACCGAACCATTTCTCCAAGAGATTTGAGTCTTGGGCACCTTCCAATGACCTCCAAGAATCAGGCAACACAAACTGAAGCTTCCAGCCCTAGAATACTGAAGTTCAGGCCTGCTCTGATACCATGAAGAAACTGAAGAAAACAGACCTTGAGAGTTCGGCAATGAGGGTTCTGAGAGTGAGAGTTTCGAACATTACACTCTCTCAGCACCCTAACACTATTTTATTAAGATAAATTTGAATAATTACAAGAAGGCCCTTAGTTGGGCAAGGAATTACAAAGAACATAATATAGAAAGGATGGGCCTAGAATAAGGCCCATTACAGAAAAAAAAAACATAAACAGTAAGGAAGAATAAACAGCCTATGGGCCGCCCCATCTTCTCTACAATTCAATTTTGTCTATTCTAATCATTACGTTGTTAAGAAATTGCCATATGGATGAAGGATATTTATATCCCCTTTCCTTAATCCAATTCTCTACCTTGTGTAATTGATGAAAGGCATACTCTTTTCTTTTGTTGTAACTAGTAAGTGTACACGTGCTTTGCATGTGGAAATTTTTTATGATGATGATGATAGTAAATAATATGTTTCCAAAATTTTGTACACTCTTTTTATATTCCTATGTTTATAAAAATTATTCTTATTTGTCACACTTATTTTTGTTTAATATGATGAATATGATATTAGAGAGACGAGAAGATTGTTGGGTCTTTTCTTCTTTGGTGGAGAGGATTTTGCTAGGAAAGCGTTTGTGGAAGTAGAAGAAAACTCTAAGGGGCCTTTGAAGGATAGCAAGACAGATAGTTCGAATTCTGGTGTTCTTGTTAATGGGGCTGAGGGGGAGAAGGACGAAAATCTTCAGAGTGAAGCAAGGACATCGCATAACAGTGGAGGTTTTCAGGCAGCAAAGCAAGTGTTTGAAAAAAAAAATGCAGTCCTAGAGCTTGAAAGAATTAATGAGATTCAGGACAAAAGGAAGAATTACAAGGATCCTCCTAATGCAGTTAAAAGGTTTAGACATAAAAAATTTAACAGATCTGTTCCAGTGGCAAAGGTGTTTGCTAGACTGAAGGGGGCCTTTTGGCGGTTGGAATTAATAAATGGATCAAGAAGAAAAAAGAATTGGCAAGAAAAAGAAAGAGGTCACTAACAATCCCGATGGAGGTTAGGGAAGGGTGTCTTTTGTTTCCTTTGGGCAGGTGGTTCAGATTGTGAGGTTTTCTCCGAACGTGACCTTTGGAAGGCAAGCTGGGGATATTCCTCAGGGTTTTATTGTTTCCTCTTTGGTTGTTTGGGAGTGGTGTGGGGTGTTTGAGTTCTGCATGAAAGATGTTTTTTGGGTCTTAGTTGTTTTGTTCCATTTTGGGTGATGCCTCAGCACCGTTTGTATTCTTCTCGTTGTCCTTAGTTAATAATTTTTTTTTTCTTTATTTATCTTCAAAAAATGATATTAGAGAGGTGCCCAAATGTTTTCTACAATTTTTTGTATTTCTTTTATACTTTTGTGTGTTTTCATCTTTTTTAATTATTATTATTATTATTATTTAATTATGACATCAAGGGTTTACACATTTGACCCAAAAGGTTAAATTTGTATTTTATTTCTATCATCAATAAATTATTCTTTGTCACACTTATTTTTCTTTGATATAGTTAATTAATATAGGATTCAATGAAAGAACAAGAGTTAATACCCTAAATATAAGACTTAATGAGAGGGAACTGAATGAGGAGAAATGTAGTAGTTCAAATTACAATTTGTGCCCTCACAATTAGAGAGACTACAAATTAGAAAAAGGGGTATTCAAGTAAAGAATAGGATTCAATGAATGTTAAAGAGAGTTAAATATAAGGGTCCATTTGGTTCACTGGAATAGGGGTCTGGAATTTGAATCAGAATGCCCATTCCAATTGTTTTGTTTGACGGAATCGGAATCCATTCCCATTCATGGTGGAATGGCATTCCCCCATTTGAGAGAATAGCCATTCCCTCCCCCTCCCTTGGGCATAAGATCCCATTCCAGATATTTCCAATTCCTATTTGAACCAAACAGGCTACGGAATAGACCATTCTGATTCCAATTTCAAGGGATTTTGATTCCAGTTTTGACTGTGAACTAAACAGCCTAGACTTAATGACAGGGATTTGAATGAGTAGAAAAGTGGTTGTTCAAATTACATTTTTGTTCTTACAATTATAGAGCAACCAAATTCAAAATTTGGGGTATCTAGTCAAACAAAAGCTCCACATTCTCATTGAACATAAGTTCTCTTCCCCATTTATTGTCCATTTTTTGGTAATTATATACATTCAATATTTTGCGTGTGAAAGTAGAATTGAATCCCACCTTAAATAATCCTAACTACCAAGAGCTAACCACGGATCAATTGTCCATCCAATTAGGGATTGTTTTGATCTTGAAGCCTGCACTTGTGTTAAGGTCTGATAATCAACTTCTCGAGTCAAATCCATGCAAAATTGAAAACAAGACAAATACAAGTTTGTACTACTCTGCTAGGAGGCCTGGCTGTCTTGCACACCCATATTTCTAGTCCAAGGTGCAGGACAGGAAGTCTGGAAGGGCCCCGCTTTTTCTAATTGCCCTAATATTCTCTGCACATTCCACCACACCATTGCCACCTCTACTGTTGCAAACAACTCAAACCTACAAAACTTCTGCTAAAGATCTAAACCTAAGAAGTAAAGTCTGTCCTCAATTACATAACCTTAAAATCACATTTTAAAAGTACAACAAACAAATATAGAATTTCTTAGTTAAGAGTTAAGTAAACATCATTGTTATCTTGAAAATGGAAACAATGAAATGGATTCAAGAATATTTCTAAGCTTTCTTCAAACCTGAGATCCATTGTCAAGAACAGTAGCTGTAGTAGTGAATTGGCACTCTGCTCTATCAACTTCATTAAAATCAGAGTCCTTTAGTATAGCTGCATCAAGCATAAGCATTTCAACAAAAATATATTTCATACTTTCTTACATACTAATCTTGTACTTGATAATTACCTGCACATATATATTTTGCTGCTTGATCTGTTGTTGGGTACAGCTTAAACGAGCGAACTGCAATCTCTTCAGGCTTCATTATGAAGAATTGCTCCTAGAACAAATCATTTCTGAGTGCTTAAAGATAATGTTTATACTGGTTTACAATTTTACATACACGGATGACATAAAGGTTACCTCCATGAGGGTGATACCTTTTGAGCAATCAAACTGCAAGAAAGAATATCATCATCATATTTACATGTTAGATGTGTAATCACTGTTAATACTCATGAAAGAATGTTCAGTGGAAGATTCAAAGGAGACACCGTTAAGCTGTATGATGCTTCCAGTTTACCAATGTTTTTGACAGTGATGGTAGCAATGCCAAATTGAGTGAGGGCTTCAAAAGTTGGAATAGTAACACTTAAAATTTTCCCAGGGCTTCTGAAGAAAAATGAGTTATTATCATTATTTCCCTAATATAAATCAACAAATGTATACAACAATGCAAGTTTGACAATGATATATGACATGGAGTCGATCAACAGAAGTTCAATAATATTTTCTCAAAATTTTAGGTTACAGTAGATGATCAAGAAAAGTTATTTTTCAAGTATTTAATGTTTTGATGGACAAAGAAGAAACAGATAAACTACTAAATAGCAACCAAAAAAAATACGTTTTAGAAAGACAATACACAAGTGTAGGTTTAAGTGAAAGATTTACAGAAGTTTCTCTTAGAATATTATTTTGTTAAATAACAAATGAAGGGCCCAAAGAATATGAAAACAATACATAAGTGTAGGTTTAAGTGAAAGAAAAACAAGTGAAGATAAGCCATTTGCAGCATATTAGTGATAACCTTTGATAGACATATTCTATGTCATCAGCACTAAGTTCTATCAATAGATTTGAATTAAGAACTTCAGTGATTCCTATTGAGAATGAATGTGGCCCTGCATCCTGCACATTGTTCCAAGTAAAATTTTGAGTAAAATGCGTAAGGAAAAAGTTCACAATAAAACCATAACTTTAGAACATAACTGGATGCTCATTTATCCTTTCAAACCTTCCTTCCACACCATATAGGGGCATTTGGTTCCGACGAACTCGATTCTGATCGGCCTGTCAGAAAATAATATAAATTATCCATACAATTTTAAGAAAAACCATAAGAATATAAAAACAAATGAATGCTGATTTTCAAGATAATAATAAATCAGTCAGAACCACCTTTTTCTATTCATTCAGAATCACCTGAAAGATTAATTTGGTATCATCCAAATGCAAGGTCTAATCATTGCATAGGCATATTAATCTGTAGGCTCAAACGAACCCATAGCAACGTATGAAAAATCAGGTGGGCCCACTGAGGATTAAAAAACAACATAGAATTATACTAAAGAGCCTAGTAACCCAATGATGGCCATTTAGGGATATTTAAACCCCTAGTTTCATATACTATTTTCTACCCTAAACTCAAATATTTAACCCCTGATCAAAAAAGATTTCCTTGTGTTTGGATCCATGAGAGGGAACCTAAAAGACAAATTAGACTTCATTATTGTCTTCTCCATACCCAAAACCTTGAAATACTCAATTCGACCCCTTAAACCCATTAGTTAGCCGCTACCAAACTAACCAAAATCACCTTGTCAATGATTCAAAATCTTGAATGATCTAACTATTCCAATTTATTGGAAACACTTGAATTGGTAGAATATCAATTCTTACCCAAAATTTCTTTCAATTGGATCATTAAAAATATTCCATTCATGAGGCCTAGATTTAGCTAAATTGACGCCACTACTAATCAAGCCATTCTGACCAGTGGACTCTAAAGCTATCATTTCATAGTAGCATAACCTTACAGGGCATGACAAAAAGCTGAGGGAGAGAGAGAGAGAGAACCCTCATAAACTTATCTCCCATGATAGACCCATTCTCCTCAAAGAAACCCACTCAAAATGCCAAAAGCAACACAATTTAAGCAAAAACTAACCCACTCTGTCTGAACCACACAGTCAAGCATGGAAATCCCCTTGCAATCACAATAATCTAAAAAATAATGTAGGATTTTTCTCATCCAAAAGTAAGTAATATAGGACATATTTTCATGACTCTCCTCTTTTTGATTTTTAGCATGTCTTGTAAGCTAGTAAAGCAATTTTTGCATTTTTCTCCTTGAATTGTCTTACTAACTTATTTCTTGTTTGTGTAGAGAACACTGATGTGGGCCCCACAGCTACGGTACCACTGTGTTCATAGGGTAGAAGATGTTCTAGTCTGCCTAGGGTTAGCTATTGGTCATTTAGTTGTTTCAGTTATTTATTTCAGTCTTATTTTTTTGCTCTATTTGTTCTGTAAAGACTAAGGGCAGATCTGTCCTTTCCATGTAATGAGCATAACCTATAAATATTAATTAAAGTGGCGGCGGCAGAACATTAAGCTTCTGCTCCTCCTTTCAACTCTTGTGTTCTATTGCTTCTCCTCCCTCTTCCTCTTCTTTCCTCTTACCTTTCTTCTTACTTTCGATCCTGAAATCTATTAGGGTTCAAGACTGATAACAGTCCTGAACTTCTACTGTTTGTGCTTTTCTTTTTTTTTTTTTGGGTGTTTGAGGGCTTCATTTTGTGAGGAAGATATGTAGTAGTCCCTTATGATCAGCTCCTGTTTTATGCTTTCAATTTCCCTAAACTCATGCCTATAGATCCATGGCGTGAGCTGTTTATTCTTTGCCCAAGAAATGATTAGCTTCGAATCACCCTCTACTTCCAACTGCTGAAAGTTTGCTTGTTTGGAAAGTGTTAAGCCTTGTAGTAGTGCCATCAGTTCTGCCTTTAGCGAGTCTCCCAACCCCAAGGGACCTGAAAACATAGCCAAGACTTTCCCTGTGTAGTAGTCCCTTATGATCCTGGGAGTGGTTGGGGGAATGGCTAAGATTTTGCTACCCATCATCCTAGTAGAACCTTGAGAATAAGGCATCTCAAACCTTCCAAATGTGATGAATCTCTCACTTTAGTATATTTTAATGTATACTTTTGGCATGAGACGTTTTCTAGAACAACTTCACAAAGATAAGTAGAAGATCAAGACTGTAATTAGTCTTGAATCCTAATAGGTTTTAGGTTTACAAAACAGAAGAAAAGTGAGAGAAAGGAGAGAGAATAGAAGAGAAACAGGAGAACACAAGTGGTTGAAAGGAGGG